TGGTCGTTAAATTGGTTACAAGTACTTGTATTAAGTGCAGCCAAGCTGCAAGTGGCAACCGCCAGAGAGATTACACAATACGGATCGCGATTGTGGAGGAGTAAATATCGCGGTAATGGTGTTTTTGCGAGGCGATCGGGTAATTTAAAAACTGGGATACGTCCGAATCACACAAGATTGGTCAATAAAGCGATAGCACTGTGTGGACTACAACAAGACGTGCCGCGGTCGTGCCCAGTCGATCAAGGCGTCTTCAGATCGAATTGCATGGTGTGGACCACATACTCCGGATTGCGATCGCCGTTGAAGCGACGCGTGGCGCTGCCTGTCATACAAGTAGGCAAGATGGTAAGATTTTGGATTATTGGACATAGGTTAGTAGTGAATTTGCAAGGAAAAGCATAGGTATTAATTTGCTAGACTGGATATCGAAAGTGTTTTACCTTAGGCTAGTTTTAGTTAAAGTTATAATAATATAGGCGACATCTTCATCATGGGACGCGTCATTTAGATATTACGGGCTGAAGTGTTGGCCACTAGTTGAAAAAAGGGAGTGTGGTGGAGTGAAAATCGCAAGATCCTTGCGCTCCCAGCTTTTTGCACTGGTGCCCAGAAAGTCGACTAATGGGGGGGGGGTAATCCGATTTACTGTGTGCTGGAAACTCCTTCCTCGTCTTGTGTACCCGTCAATCGGGCGAATCGCACTCTTCCAAGTGGACTCTGAGTCCATGTCGGTCTTGAATAGGCTTGGGAAGTTCTTTTACCACGCGGGAATCTTCATGAGGTCGGTAGTACTTGGTGGCAGACGATTTGTTAGTCGTCGCGATCCACCCTTGGATCGCTCTTCTCCCAATATGTAAATCTTCTTACCAATTGAGCCGTTTGTAGATTTTGCCTTGATGTTGTTACTGCGTTCAATCACAGGTTATGTGTGTTGAGGGTTCGTGACCCTGGCAAAAGCTATCCCGGGCCAATCAAAGTGACCGCGCGCGGAGTCTTTATGTGTCGGTGGGGGCCAATGTCCCACCTGGAAGAGAATGCGACGCGTGTACTTGTTTAGATTGAAATCTGTGTTATATTTACCACTAAAAGCCAAAAACCTATGACTGAGCTTTAGGTCAGTTTTTATATCCAACCAGAAGTATCCGAAAGCTTGTACCTTCTTAGCGTGGTCCACACCAATTTCACGTGCTCGTTCCTTGATCGCCTCTTCGTATTGTGTGGTCCATACTCGCTGTATCTATACATAGATATGGATCGCGATCAGGATCTCGATAGCAATCTATACAGGATAGCGATCCACGCAGGATAGCAATCCGGATCTGAATCGTGGCCAGTATGTAATCCACGTAGTGACAGCAATTTACATAAGATAGTGGTCCACGTAGTCATAGCGATAAAAATAGAATAGCGCTTTAGGTAGTGACAGCGATCGACATAGGATAGCGATCTACAAGTGTTATCAATCGACGTAGGATAGCGATTAACTAGCGGTAACAATCCACATAAGATAGCTGTAGCCGAGCTACTGTAGCCAAGCTACTTATGCGCTTTGTGCAGAGAAAGACAAGCTTAAAAAGATTATATGTCTTAGGATTCTTAACCCTCCCAAGGCTAGCTCGCAAGCTTGTGCCTACCGGTATTAACAACCGAGTCTCAGAGAGAGTAGTATCAAAGATACTGATTCCTTAGAAGGAATAGAACGCCAAGCTGTAAGGCTTACAGAGCAGATTCGAAACTGATTTATATTAATGTTTATCTTCTAACACTAAATACAGAACACCCACTCTATACTTATGGCTAGTCACTATATACTGGCTCTATAGCCTATTATTATGCAAACATGTATAGTCACTATACTTTAAATAAGTATAGTGACCACGTGGCCTCTGCCACGATGTAACCCTTCGTACTTCAGGTACGGTCACATCACCTACTTTTGTACCCAAGGTACAGCCACACCACATTGGTGTGGCAGGTGTGTATGTAAAATACACACCTTCGTGTAACCCCGTTACACCCTCCCCACCAATCCGTGGAACCCGACGTACCCATGATTTTTTTGAAGCTTATTGGAGTCATCGATTTTTATTTTCTACTCATTTTGCGTGCCTCGCAATAAGTGCCTCGCACTTGCGAACAAAGCTTTAGTGTTTTGACACTTGCTCCTTGAGCACCTGTGCTTTGCACACACGCTTTCTAAGCATCTTTGTGTTGCGACACTCGCTCTTTGAGCATACAGTGCATTACACTCATGCTAAAGCATTATAGTGTTTCGACACTTGCTAATAAGCGTTAAGTGCCTAGCACTTGGTATTAATACGCTTTGTGTTTACAAACACTTGCTTTTACAGCATTAAGTGCCTAGCACTTGCTTTAAAGCAATCAGTGGTTTAAACACTTGCTTATAAGCGATTGAGCATATAAGTCTGTTTCACTTGCTCACAAAGCACCCTAATGTTAACACTAGCTTATAATGCACATTAGTGTCGAACACTAGCCTATAATGCACATTAGTGTCGAACACTAGCTAACAATGCACATTAGTGTCTAAAACTAGCTTATAAAGCACCTAAGTGCTCAACAATTGCTTATAAAGCTTATTTTCGCTTAACACTAGCGTATAATCACCATAGTATCTAACAGTAGCTTATAATGCACCATAGTGTATAACACTAGCTTATCAAGCACCTAAGTGTTCAACACTTGCTTATAACGCACCTAAGGTTGACAATTGCTGCTATAAAGTATTTAAGTGCTTAACACTTGCTTATTTACTCTTAAAGTGTTGTACACTTCTGATAAAGCTTCATAGGGCTTCACAATTGCTTATATAAAGCCCCGCAGTGTTACTTTGCTTATAAAGCACAACATTGTTTAAAACTTGCTTATATAAAACCCCAAAGTGTTGTAAACTTGCTTATAAAGCTTCATAATAAAATTTACGCGTGCTTATATAGCAGCTAAGTTTTTCACACTTCTTTAAGTGCACCGAAGTGCCCAGCATATGCTTATTGAGCCACAAAGTGCTATAACTACTTGCTCTACTAGACCTCAAAGTCCTTACGCCTTGCGTATCACATAGACAAAGCCAAATACGTCGTAGTTTCTTGCTTCTGAAGCAGCTGCTCGTACCTCTTACGCAAGTGATATACCGGCGACGGTTTCTCCTGAAAGTCAGAGGTGAAGCCATCCTACTTACCTTGCTTCCTCAGAACCTAGTGCTAGGAAGCGTCCGACGACAGCTGTCGTCGCTTCTGACCGTCCTAATCAAAAGCGTCAAAGGCGTCACGGCAATCCTGCCGGAGGGGTACATTATACTCCCACGAGTCGTACAACTAGCGGTAACCCCTTCACTTTACCAAATATTGGTAATAAAACTGGTGACGACGCCGAGTTAAGTGACGTTCCACTGAAACTATTAATGACCCAGGTCATCAATCAGAGTCGGCGGAGGTCGATGACCCATTGACCTCTCATCTCTCTAAGATCGAGCGTCGCCTGACACTATTGGAGCGTGATGCTCTTGCATCGGTGAGGTCTCACCTGTCATCGCTCGGTGACCGTGTCGATCGATGCCGTCGGTCTTTTGAGCGTTATCGCTCTGAGATCTCGGATCGCTTAACGGCAATTGAGCGTTCTCAAGCCGAACTGCAATGTCAGATTGACCTCCTTGTAAGCTTCCAGCGTCCATATGCACCTCCGGTGCAGTACTTCCCGCCTCCTTCAGCCGATAGTATGGGGACAACCTCTTGAATTCCACCGAGGCAGAGTTGAGGAAATGGCTTGAGCAAGCCAACATAGACACAGGATGTGTTCTCATCTTCGTCGGAAAGTTCAGCGTATAGGCTAAGCCTTTCTTGCCTATGACCTTAAAAGGTCCAATAAAGCGTGGACGTAGCTTGGTTTTGTATATCGCAGACACTGCGCAAGTAGGTAAATTCGTAGCGTTTAATAAAAACTGAATCGCCCACTTTGAACTCATGTTCATTTTTCCTGCCTTTGGCATCTGATTGTTCCTTTTGAACATCCTGGCTTTCAGCCATAGCGTCTTTGACGTGACGTAATACGTCAAAACGCGTTGACAGAAAGGCTTCCATATTCTTGAGAGTCGAAACAGGGCTGATATCAGCCAAGCCTTCGGCTATTTCTCCCCCAGTAAGCCCTGATGTGGCAGGGGGTAACGTGAACGGAACGCAAGGGTTGACCAAACCATTCATATAGAATGGGGTGAAGCATGTCGAGGCATTCACCGCATTATTCAACGCAAACTCAATGAGTGGGAGCATCTTGCTCCATTGCTTGGGTAAACACTACAAAGCATATCGCCAAGAACGCGGTTGACGCGTTCAGTCTGACCATCGGTCTGCGATGATCTGCTGTGGACATGTCCAGTCGAGTGCCCAGAACTTAACAAGGGCATACTTTATCGCAAGTAGCTCCTTGTCATGAACTGGATTGTTCTTTTCTGCAGCTTTCAGCTGGCGAGATTCAAACGCGATGACGCGTTCTTGACCCTCAAAGTCAATTTGAAAGAGTACACTGCCAAAGGCAAAGTCCGAAGCGTCACATACGACGCTAAACGGGCGATCAAGATCATGCAGGGCCAGAATTGGCGCCTAAAAGGACTTTCCTTAATGGCTTCAAAAGCCTCGGGGTGCTTGGTTGGTGTTCCAACACCATTCCACATCCTTTTTAAGGAGATTCGACAATGGCCTAGCCACCTCCGAGAGCGCTGTCTTACCAGCGGCATTGCTTTGTGTTTAATTTTACTTACTGAGCTGAGCATAAAACATGGCTAACACCAGTGTAAATAAGCGAGTGTTTGTTGACGTTGTATAGATGATGTGGTAATGTGCACCGCTAGATGTACATTAAATACGCTAGTTTAAGCATTGCGAAATCTGCAAAGCTTGTCAAATCAGTAAAAGACGATTCATTTGGTAATAAATAACTTAGGACGTTCAGATTGAAGTTGACTATCTTTCTGCTAGACTCGCTCAGCGGAGCTCCATGGATTCGCGGATCCAGAAGAACGACGGAGACTGTTGTGCTTCCCTATCACTCTGTGCCTGGTCGTCTTGGTGCAGATTTTGTTGATGGATCTTCAGTTGCCATTGCACTGTAACAATGGCGTTTTCGTCATTGGTACGAGTACCCTTGTCGCGCTCAGTGCTTCCTCTGCTACTTTCGTCAGAGTCAGGATCAGTCATGTATTTTGAGAGCGTGTGCTTGTCGCCAAGTTTTTTCATGTGGTTGACTTCTGTGTCGTCGCTACCTCTGCCTGTGATTCTTCTCATGAGGTATAGCATGCAGATGGTTGGGAAGACGTTCGGACTAATGTTGCACAAGATGAGATACATAAACATGGACATCGCAGCAGTAGACTCATTGAGCACTAGTGCGATTAAGCGAATCACGCCCAACACAACGAAGATAAAGATGGCAAGCATGAGCTGTTTGAGAGACTTTTCGACGCTGGCAGCGGTAACGGTACCGTGCGCAAGCAGGAGACGACGACGCAAACGAAAGCCTTGGTAACCCAGCAGAACGCCGTACGCAGCACGATAGTCACACCTGAGTAGGTAAACATGCCTCGAAGCTTGCTGTTCATAAATCTGTATTGACCGTACGCGTCGTCAGTATATCTGGACAGTAAGATGGGCACCAGCACACCCCACAGCACTAACAGCATATTGAGTACAGCGACCAGCTTAGAAATGCGTCGCCGTGCCAGTCGCTGACCTGCCGACACCACACCGACCCAGCAGATAGCTAGGTATGAATTAAAAAAGTACAACAGGAGTAAAGAGTAGACGCGACAGACGTAAATGGCCTTCCATGTCTGCAACAGCGGATACCAGATCCACTCGATAGCCTCTGGCAGCTGCAACAGCGTTGACACCAGCAACATCACGTGGAAAACCTTCTTGGTGCCGCGACTCATGTACATGAAGTGCATTAAGGTGCGCCACGCGACGGCGAGAGATAATGGAACATACAGCAGTAACGTTAACCATCCGCAGGCTTTTAATGCTGTCAGTTGTTTCTGTATGAGTGTCTCGTAGCTGTCCTCATCTAGTCCGAAGTTAGTCGTCACGTCATTGGTTGTAGCTGTGGATTGTAAAATTCTTGCAATATTTTATTCATTATCATTGGAAAACGAAGTCGACAAGATGCTTGATAATGTCATTAATAACAAAAATCCTGAGAGTCGAGAGTTCATGATGAATGAATACCCAAGTGTCTGATTGTTCACCATTCGGTCCACGCCACACCATATGTACATGGAATTCACAAGCCGTTTAACATCTAGTGTCGATATACCGGTAGTACTTCCACGTCATTTTACAATGCATCAGCTTTGCGTCGTCAACCAAACACTTTGTTGCAATAATATCGCATGATACCAGAAAAATCCGGCCATGCGGTGGACTGAATGGCCTGTTGTAAGACGGTCATCATTTCTAACGCATACACTTTATATCAAAAGTTGGCCAGTACTCAAATCACGTACGCGAGCTCTTAAAGTGCTATTTCTAACCTCAGGTCGGAAGAGTAAGTGTCCCGACTATAACTCACTCAGTGGTGTACTGGATTGTACCGGTATCTTACCGTATACTTTGTCTTTTTATCAGTTTTACCTTATTTTTTAATTTCTGATATAATGAGTAGCTATTAATAACAAGATAAAGAGGTTCGAAGGTAGTAAGTAAAGGTTGTAAAAGTAGCAGTAGTAGTTAATCCCGTCCTAAGATGCAGGGGGCAGTACCATCAGCAGCACCATCATCATCATCCATCTCCATACGTTATAAAAGCACAAATGCTACTAGTGATTTCTTTACAAGGACTTCAATACTTTCCAATACATTAAGTACCCATGCAGCTGAATGTCGTCCACTTCTTTCAGGTGCACCACCTCCACAGGTTTTTGCACATCCAGTCGAATGCACGTCATTTATGAGTCGTCTCTGTTTAAAGTGGGTCACACCATCAATAATGCTCGCCAATGGGTCTCCGAATCAGACACCGAATCAGCTTTCTCCATATCAAACACAGGATCCAAGTTGTCATTGTAAAGTCAAGCGTGGATTAGAGCAAGCGGATGTTTGGGAATTACCGTCCTATGCTCGAGCCGAATCAGATGCAAATACGTTACAACGTGCTTGGATTTCTAGTGGTTCATTGTCTTTGGCATTCTTAAAGACGTATGGATTGCAATTTATTGGACTTGGCATTCTACACGCTATTGTTCAAATATGTGACGTCATTGGGCCGTACGTGTTATTTCAAGGTGTGACGCTAATAATGCAACAAGAAGGTCAAGATGATCGAGAGATAAACAATAGCTTGATTTATTGGCTAGGATTGCTATTTGTCTCCCGACTATTGCGTATTTCACTATCGACTTTTGTTCGAGTTGAGCTTCAGACGTTGATTCTGAGACTCACGTCGGCACTACAGAGTTTAGTAGTACAAAAGGCTTTACGGCTGTCGAACGCTATGGCTCGAGAAGCTGATACACTTTACACCGTTGGTGTGACGCAGCTACTACACGGCGCTGCGTGTCTGCATGAACTTTGGGCAGCGCCACTAGTTTTGACGTTGGTTTTGGCTTTCATCGAAAAGTTTATGGGTGTTGCCGCATGTGGAGCTTCTCTCGGGGTACTGATTGTGGCGCTGGTGGTGTCCCAAGTGCTAAAACAATTTCAACTTCATTCGTTGGATCGACTGCGACGAACACGGGAGGACCGACGGAACTCGACGACGGATATGGTGCATGTGATGCCCGCCGTGAAATTGTACGCATGGGAGACGGCTGCAAGAGCACGTGTAAACGCCACGCGCGGACGTGAGCTTGCGGCTTTGTGGACCTTCCAGATGCGAGGTGCCGTCGAAATTGCGTTTAACTTTGTGACGCCGGCTCTGGTGACCACTGTGGCACTAGCGGTGGGGTATCATTCATCCGCGCGTCCTTTTACCGCAGCATCAGCATTTGCTACATTAGCACTTGTGCGTCTTATGCACACACCGCTTCGTACTTTTGTTAATGTAGTGCTAGGTGTTCGAGCCGCTTGGCAATCTCTTTGCAATCTTTCTCACTTTATGGACCAAGATGAATTAAACCCGCATGCGGTAGTCCGACGTGACAGCATGGGGCTGATAGCCAAGTACGACCCACAAGATGTTGTCATTGCTGTAGAAGACGCTACGTTGGGTTGGGCAACTACTGGTCCGGTGGTATTCCAGCACCTGGATGTGACGGTAGGCGCTGGTGAGTTCCTAGTGGTACATGGGCGCCCTGGAAGTGGTAAGTCATCTTTTCTTTCAGCACTGTTGGGCGAAATGCAATTGCGTGACGGAAGCGATGGGAGTGGTGGTCGTGTATATGTTGCTGGCTCGGTGGCCTATTGTCCTCAGCAGCCGTGGCTGGAACAAACTCTGTCAGTACGCGACAACGTATTGTTTGGTCTTCCGTTTGATCGCCATAAGTACCAGCGTGTGCTTGACGCATGCACACTTACCAACACAATTGCACTGTTGCCGGCTCGAGATCACACCCTTATTCAAGAGTGGATGCCAACCCTAGGAGAGCAAACGCTTGTGAGTCTTGCGCGTGCTTGTTACAGCGATGCTGATGTGTACCTGCTCGACGAACCACTTGCACGCTTACAATCAAGATCCACAGCGCGTGAAATCTTTTCTCGCTGTTTGATAGGACTTCTGCGCAACAAGACACGGGTAGTTGTTACTATGCGCGCTGAGTTTATCAACTCGGAGTTTGTAGATAATGCCATCCGTTTTGAAGATGGCGGCCGGCTTGTGCATACCCGCGATATTTACAAAGCCAGGAGGCGTAAAGAGCAAGGTGAGGGCGAAGACAGCAATGAGGAGGAAGTCGAAGAGGAGAATTGGATGCATTGTTCTACTTTTGCCGTCGATAATGCCAGCACGTGCGAGCCACCGCATCATTCATTAGTGGAACCACCAAGCATTGAGCAACTGTCGATCGAAAATGCTGTTAGAACGACTCGGAATTCTTTGAATGATCGTCCGCTGCGCGAGTATCTATCGTGCGAAACATCAGCAGAAGCTGAATGGGATGAGAGTGAACAGCTGTTCAAATCAATTTGGGCTTACGCGCTCACTATGGGTGGTATTCGTGTAGCCTTAGTGTTATTCATGCTACTATGCTTTTGGCAAGTGTTGCAGCTGTCGAGTGAGATATGGATCGCTTACTGGATACGTCCTAAAAGTCAAACAAGCATGGCAGCAGATCAGCTACTTTACGTCTCACTGGCGCTGGGCGGCGTGCTTTTTGTGCTTGGATATGCGCTGGGTATTGCTATGGCGGCAGTTGAGGGATCACGTCGTGCCTTCTTGTGGTTGGCATCTGCATTCCTACATGCTCCACTGGTTTTCTTTGATGCCTTTGGTGCTGGGAGCGGCAGATCAAGGTCAATGCGCCTTAGCCTTGCTAGAAGGCGTGAGCTCGAGCGTGCCTTTACAGACACGGATTTGACTGACTTAGATACAAGATTTCCTCTTGCACTCGGTTCTATGGTGGCACTTGGATCCTCAACTTTAGCCGCGCTGTTGACTGCCGCGGCGATAACGCGGTACTTCGCAGTACTGATCGTCCCAGCAATCTACATGTATGTGCGGGCTGCACGGTTGTATCCACGTCCAGCTCGTGATCTGCTTCTCTTGGAACGTAAAGCTCGACAAGCTGCTCGGCTACATGTTGTTGAGTCGCTTGCGGGGGCGCATGTGGTGCGAGCCTTTGGGCTAGCGCACGTGCACCGTGTTTTGGGCCACCATTTCTGGCTTCTAGACGTCGCTGCCCGTGATGGTCATCTCGGTTTACACGTTGATCAATGGCTTGCGCTGCGTGTCCAGCTGTACGGGGCTGTGATGGTGGAGATTGTAGCTGCGTTGTTGTTCTTAACGTTGCGACACAAACTGAGCGATGGCCTGTTGGCTTTAGCTTTGTACGAAGCACTGGCGGTGGATGGAGGAGCACTTGAGTCGCTCGTGCGGTCATGGATTTGGTTGAGTCCGGTATTGCCGACAGCCGCCCGAATTCAAGCAGCCGTGCGAGGGGCGGAAGTGATCGCGGAAAGTGCAGCCTACTCGACTGCAGCAGCAAGACGGGCGTCAGCGCCTTTCACAGCTGTTCCGAGCGAAGTTAGTCCTTCGTTGTCGTGGCCTACGAAGGGTGATTTGCGCTTTGACGAAGTGAGTTTTCGTGACCCGGCAGCTGCTGTTATTGACGAGCTCACGGACATGTTTGAGATTGGGGACGGTGGTGCGCCGCCATTGGCACTTAAGGGTGTATCTTTCCGCCTACAAGCAGGGGAAAAAGTTGCCATCCTTGAGTCGTCTGCAGCATCTCCAGTTTCTTCGGTGGGCCGTGCACTGCTGCGTGTGCATGAGCTGACTGCAGGGCGGATTGTTATAGATGGCGTTGACATTGCCACGTTAGGGCCTGCATACGCTTCGCTCTCGTGTAGCGTGTGTATCAGCTACTGCGCCCGGCGGTGCTTTGTACGATGGCTCGGTCCGTACGCAGCTGAATCCTAATGGTGCTGATATTGAGGATGATCGGTTGTGGACTGTGCTGCGTACTGTAGGACTTGCGAGCCATGTGGATACTTTGGACGGGCCGTTGCCGGACGTCTCTACTCTCCGATACAATCCGACTAAGCGACTTCTACTGAGTCTAGCGCGTGCGCTACTGAGTGAGGCATCTGTAGTGGCGGTAGCGTTAAACCCTGTGCTAGTTCCGCCCTGTGAAAACGAGCTTCAATTGCACCCGGAGCCGCATTTTGCCCTTGATGATGCTACACTAAAGATTTTGCAGCGTGTGGTGTACGAAGAGCTCCGAGACGCAACCGTTTTACTGTTGTTACCATCTGCTACAGCATCGCCACAGCACGACCAGCTTCAGAGAGCAACTTTACTGAATGCTGTGGACCGCGTTTTGGTTGTCGTTGAAGGTGAAATGGCGGAGCTTCTACCACCTGTAAAACTATCAGCATCTGCCATGGATCCAGATCAACTCGAGTCACATGCTGAGGTTGTGGGTAGACTAAAACTGTCCGATTTGGCACATCCATGGGACGATGCAGGTGCAGTGATTTTGGACGAAGTTGAAGAGCTAAACCAGCATGTCAGTGAATTGAGTGGTGATCTTGTGGTGGATACTGTTGATACAGAAGGTGCCATTGAAATGAAGCAAGACTAATGTATGAACAGGAGACATGGAACGAGGTTTTGACGTTGTCGCTCGTCTTGTGAAGTTCTCCTACTGAATGATCCAGCTTTATGGTGAAGATATCCATTTCTCACCCATCAGATACAGCGACGGTCGGGACCAGGAAGATTTACTCACTTGGTTATCAATCTACTTGTGGTTTCCTGATCCAGCAGTAGGATTAGGTCATGGCGAGCATATTTGAAAGCAGCGGCGATCTTGATTCAGTGCTCATGCTGCCAAGAGATTGTATGGTGCAAAATGTAGTATCTATCACCTTAGAAACAGAGAGCAAGACCTAATAGACATGGAGAGGCGGCATTTTATATTTGTATGGGCAATTACAACTAGTCAACTCTGATTCTAGCTTTAGTTTTCACATGATTTGATGATCATAAGTAAAGTGAATGAGGACAAAGAATGATGAATTCATTGAATAAGATCATAGATTTGAACGAAACGTATCAAATTCAAGATCAAAAAGTCAATGTCCCTATTTTAATGGGTAGTATTTTATATCTGAGCAAATCAAAGCTAGTGCGACCATTTGATACGGTTAAAACATGTCCGTATAATATGATACTACTATACCTTTTGTGTAGGATAAAATCCAATTGCAAAGCTCAGAATAAAATCTCACATTCACTGGTACTGAAATAGTAATACGTGTACATCATGAACGACCTACAAGAGCCTGTGATACATCCACCAACTCCTACTGAATCTGCACCAGTGAATGGTGTACCAGTGGATGAAATTATACCAATATCCTTACTACCACGTCTTCGTAAGAAAGGCTACAAATTTTCGTGTAGGTGACTGCTTCAAATCCCGATTTTTTGATAATGGAGTTGAATGGCTGACGGCTTTTTGGAGAATATTTGATGTTATTATTCTGTTAGCCTATGCCCGAGAAGACCATGGAAATGCTATTTATTGTGTCACATTCTGTGATGTTTTACCCATTTATGAGCGGATGTTTGCAGCAGCTGGTGGTAATCGAGTATGAATATCATGACGTAGTACACAGAAAGAGGATTTTCATTGATTGATGACTGCAGTTACTTATTGATTTATTTGATGTCATGTGTAATGTAAAATATAGCTGACAGTGTATGAATGTCTGGAGAATGGCGGGCTAGATGTGGTCCAAGTGTATTGTGACGGAGACCAGGAAGAACAATACTTTACGGCGGCGTGGACGGTCGATGTCCTTACAGACTCACCACTGCTGGCGGCCGCAGGCTTTCGTGGTCATATCAAGGTGATTAACTGTATTACACAATCGGTCTTGATTGTGTTATCTGGACATGGAAACTCTGTTAATGAACTCAAGTTTCACCCGGTAGACCCAAGTTTGTTGTTCTCAGCTGGAAAGGACGAGTCCATTCGTCTGTGGAATTCGCTCACGGGTGTGTGCGTGGCAATCTTTGCCGGCCACGTGGGTCATCGTGATGACGTGCTAAGCCTCGACATTCATCTAAAGGGTTCGTGCTTTGTATCATCTGGCATGGATAACACGATCAAAATCTGGGACCTCGAGGATGAAGTCGTCCAGACGGCAATCAAAAAGTCATACACGGAGCCACGTCCAAAAGATCGTCCGTTTGACACAAAATTTATTCAATTTCCAGCGTTCTGCACTAGCAAAGTGCATGCTGACTACGTGGATTGCGTGCGAATGGTGGGTGATTTGATTTTGTCCAAGTCAACTGGTAACAAGGTGATTTTTTGGAAACCAAACCCGTCGCGAGGGAAAGACGCAGTTACGGTGCTACGTGAGTATCACTACAAAGATGCAGACTTGTGGTTTATGAAGTTTGGTCTTGACTCGCAACTGGAGGTCATGGCAGTGGGCAACAAAAAGGGCGTTGTGAGTGTTTTTGACCTGGACGCTGAGCAAGAGCGCTCAATTTGCAAATTGACTCACAATAGTTGCAAGAACACAATTCGTCAAGTATGTTTCAGTAAAACTGGTCGTACTATTATCACTTGCTCGGACGATGCGTCTGTATGGCGTTGGGATTTGCATTAATTTGTAGCTATTAGTAGTGACTCAAGCCATTTTAGTTTGAATCTGAAGTCGCAGGGACGTGTATCACCTGCTAGATTACACAAGACCATGATTGCAACTGCCGGTATTGGTTTGAATCGAAAGGACCGTCAATCTCGCAACTTTTAACGCCAAATGTCGCTTCGATCAGGACTCAGAGAAGCCCAATGACAGCATTGTAAACTCAACAACTGAGAAGAATTTCGTTAAGAATAGAGCTGAAACTTGAATGTCTCTTGCTTTCTACCGTATTGGAATAGTAAACGTTTGGCCATGAGACGGGAAGAAGTATTGATATTCCGTCATTAGACGAATAGATTATTTGCAGCTTAAGCAAGAAAAGAAGAACAGATTTATTAATTGAACAACTGAAATCTAGCATCTATGATGTTGCGACTCATGTACAGTTGACATAAGCCTTTGTGTATAGCTCGGAATGGATTAATGACTTGTAGGTCAAGTGTCTTAGCTAACAGTAGCACAAAAGACGTTTAGCATTACGCAAGTTCATCATGACATGGCAGTATGTATGAGAGTATACAAAGGGAGTTGCTAACTTTGGTCGTTTACGGTACAATACGGTGCTTTCTTTAGTCATTTTTGCACGATGGATGTACTAAGTACTAGAGTCCTACTCAATTTATATCAAAGATGGTTTCGTATCAACCCAAAATAAGCTCGCATCCTTATTTGTTTGCCCAAATCGATAACATACCAGCTGTTCAAAAGCTACTCGCTATTAATTTCACGTCTTTTCTAGTAAAAAATACCCCTCAATTATATACCGGTATTTGTCAAGCTTTTTGAATCATGGCGCCACCGCCTCGCAATAGCTCAGGCAAAGGCCGTAGAAGTGGAGGACGAGGAACTACTCAACGTCTTCATCTTGAACATCATATAAATAATGAGAAAAATAGTAATTTAAATATGAAGAAGCATGAACGTAGTAATAATAATAAACGTACTGGAGGACGTGGGGGAGGAGGAGGAGGAAGTGGTGGTGATACGTTATATCCCATTTCTACTACTTCAGCTACTACTACTTCAACAACATTAACAAGACCTACACGAACAATCACAACTGTATTAAAGAAATTACTAATTCGTAATATTCCATCAATGGCAACAGAAGAACAAGTGAAAGAAATGTTACATACACATGGTGGTAGTGATGAATTTCTATGGCGTTTTGTACCTGGTCATAAATATAGTAACAATCGAGTTTCAAAACCTGCAAGACTTTATCTGGATTTGAAAAAAGAACCGGAAAAAGCAAGAAAACTTATTGCAGCACTTGATGGACAATTATTCTATCCAGAGATTCAAGACACGAAGATAAATGGTCAACCAATGGACGTTGACTTTGCTCCGTTTCAAAAAATTCCACGCGAAAAACAACGCAACGATGCAAAAACGGGAACAATTGATCGGGATCCAGAGTACGTGGCCTTTCTAAACGAGTTGGCGAAACCAAAAAACGTGAGTGGGTTTAATTACTTTGTTTCGACGATCGAGATTTGAAAGACTTGAGTGGACAAGGGTGGGTGTAATGCGTTTTTTTGCATGTGTGTCTGTGTAGAAACTTCCTAGTGCTGAAACACTTGTGGATATGGCAGAAGGTGAGACGGTCGAAAAGCCCGTAGCGGCGTTGGTCAAGTACTTGAATGAAAAGAAAGTTAACAGCCGTGAGAAGAGCAAAGTGCGTGGCAAATTGTATTTATTTTTTATCGATCTGCTATGTGCTTGATAAGCTATCGTTTGCACATTCTTACTGAAATGAATTAAATTCGTATTGCTGCTCGACAGGGAAAATTTGGGGGGAAACCAATTGTCAAGAATGCCCGTCGACAGAAGGGAAAGAAAGCGGTAAGTTGTTTGGTTATACATACTGTCCCTAATTTAGAATACATGATGGTGACAAGACATCGAACTGTTGGGTTTGCATGTTGCTCCAAGCAAAAAGTAACGAAGGACAAGTCGAAACTTTCGAAGGAGCGCAATAAGAAAAGTAGCGTTGACACAGTTGGTATGAGAGCTTGTTAGTATGAGAGTATTGTCATCTGGCTTGCTAATGATGCTTTGTCGATCCGCGTTTATAGACCTTAAGAGTCGCAAGCAACGCGGAAAAGTGTCTTTGCAAAAGGAGCCAACAAAACAGGAACTGGCAGAACCTGGCATACTGCGCATTATGACTCCCAAGTCTGCTGTTGCGGCTGGCAGTTCTACTTTTACTCCTGTTGCCAAGTGGAATGGATCTGCGCTTTCGGCCGATGCTATTTCTGAACGTGGATCTGAGAAGCGTGCTCCTAAAAGTGGCAAAAAAATCGGCAGTCGTGGACGCAGCAACCACCAAAAGAGCATCGATGGAATTGATAGTGTTGACGGTGATGGTACCAATTTGAAACCATCTTCACGCCGTAAAAGTGGGAATAGTGGCAAGAAGGAGCCGAGCAACAAGGGCGAACGGGTACGTGGAGCTGTAATTCGCGTATGGTATGGGTTATGTTGCCGACGCTGTGGCGTGTTAACATTCTAGAAAAAGAAGAAGGTATTTGCGCCAAAGGATGCAACTGCGCAAGGCACACCTTCCAAAAGTTGATTGCTGCATGATCTGATTCAAGCGAGTTGCTTTCTGACCGCGCAGTTGGTATCCAATGGCACAGCAGAATCGCAGCAGCGAAGTGTGAAGAAAAGCAGATGAAAACACAATCGTTGGGCAGAATGAGGTTAGCGCAGTCCGGTGCTCAAGATGCACACACACGAACAGATGGGGCAGCGTGAGTGTTGGTGACCAGGAGTTGGCCTGACCAGCGCAAAAAGAGTAGCTAGCAGGCCGACCTAGGTGGTACCGCACATGCTTCGGCGCTTTCAAGGTGACGGGCACGGTTTATTATCTACAATTCAGGTGCCGGGTCACGGTTGTTCCAGTGGCAAAAAGAAAGCAGAGCAAGAAGAAGCGCGCGACAGTCGACAAACAGCAGTCATGGAGTGGTGGGATTCTTTTAGGAAGGCAGCAATGCAACGCCTCGATGGAGGTTGTTTTCTCTGTGCACATGCAACACTCTTTATTGGTGTCATTTGTTTTCTTGTGTTAAGAGATGCAGGTTGCGAGAAGGTGTGACTATCATGCTTATGCTACTAGATACATGGTTACACGAACAAGTCCCAATCTCATTGCACCTTTGTACGCGGGTCGATCAAGGGGCTATTTTACAAGCTGTGCGACCTACCAATATTGTTTTGCAGGTGTGGGGTAGACACTAAGCAGCACGGATTGTCTGCCTTTTCCCGGAACTGATCGCACGTGGCACGCAACGAGGGTGGAAAACAGATGACATAGATCGCCTTCGTATCGCTCATTTCCAATACATCGCAAGTTGTTGGCACTGTCTTGAACGAGTCGAACGAAGCATTGATTTGTCAGCATTAGTAAATGCTTCGTCTATTTGGCAGGAACTGCTAGTGCCAGCGGAAATGGAAAGAATATCGTCTGCCAGCATTAGCTAATATCGATATGTCAAGTCTGGGCTCTCCTGCTGCGCTGTCAAAGCCGTGAGGCAAGCAATGCGGGCGTTCCGATGGCGGACGAATGACGAGGAAGACAGCCGTTTAAGCATCTGCTGAAATGCTCAATGTGTCTCTTACACCATCTACCTGCAGGAACAAGTACGTGCGTAGATAGAAAATGAAAAAAGCAGTAAACATATATTAGTGTTGGTTATCTATGAAACTCCAACAGTCTTACCGACCTGTTCATTGCCTTCGTCTCCGCATTATCCGTCTTCATCGTGCAGCCGCGTAAAAACTTAGCTTTATACTAACATGCTTTCCATTCGACGACAATGCATCGTTGTTAAGTTGCTGGATGGCCGCCTTGTTGTCAATGCTTAGCACGCGATCGGTGTCTTCACCTGCATCCCGATCTCCATCATTAGCTTCTTAATGCCTAGAATTTTGACACCGCCAGAATAAGCAGAAACAAACTCGGCTTCTGCGGTCGATAATGCTCCGAGGTCTGCTTGCGACAGGGCTATCCAGCAACTATTTCGTTGACAAATCGCATTCCAGCGCTAATGGATTTCCGGACCACTGCATCTCCTACAAATTCCGCATATGTATGACACTAGCCGTATTGGAGAGCTCGTCGGCCTTATAGGCCAACTATGCTTCCTCGCAGGTCATTTTGCCATCAAATGGCCTGTGCTCTTGCAGATATAACATCTGCTGCTCCGCACACCTTCTTCTTCCACTTGACTACAGTCCATGTGAACAGACCCATCAGACAAGTAGTTATAAGTGGCAGGCCTAGCGGCCTTAAAGTTTGTCTCGGCATTCCATGGCACTCCAAAAGCTTTCTCGAACGAGGACATGTTTACCCGGAATACTTTAGTTCTGGCAACGCCAACTCGGAGGCATTACATATAAATCAGTTGGTTGATAGAATAAGCTCTTATAAATCAATTACTTTTCAGTTAACCATCTTCTACTCAAGTCGTCTTTACCCTTCAAGTGCAGACTTCCTCCGCCTCCAACCAAGCCCTCGCAAGACCAAGACTCATACCTTCGCTCAGGTTATGAGCCCAAGTACGATGTCCACTGCCCAAAACGTGTCCTCGAAGTTCTTCATCGATAAGTTCGATGGGGACAACTACGCGACTTGGAGTCGTTACATGCGTGGCGTGTTCCTGACCAAGTCGGTCTGGCACGTCGTTAATCGTGAGACGACGCCGACCTTCGCGGACACTCGTCCCATGGAAGACTACGTCCGGTCGAGCAACATCGCGTTTGGACTGATGTTGCTCCACATGGACGCCGACTATCATCACGTGGTTGATGATTGTGAGGAAGCATGGATCAAATTAGCGCGTTTGAAGACGCTTTACGGTGGATCGCAGAAGGCTGGGCGCATTTTTCTGAAGCGACAGCTCTTCAGTATGGAGATGAAGGAAGGCGGCAACGTGATGCATCATTGCAACGAGGTTCTCAGCATCGGCGCCAAGCTTACCAGCATCGGCGCCATGATGGAGGACAAAGACGTGGCGATCTGTTTGTTGCGCAGTCTCCCCAAGAGCTACGAGAATGTCGTGCTGAATTTGGAGATGGACAGCGCTGATTCAGCGCAATTACGATCAAGAGACGCTGTAAGGATGCTTATGAATGAGCACATCAAGAGGCAAGGCGAGAAGACGGCATCGGTGAAAGTTGAAGAAGCGGTCAAGGCTTTCAGCACCGAGCGCGAGCCTCGCCACCAGTGTACGTACTGCGGAAAATTGGAGCACACGGAAGAGCGGTGCTGGACCAAGCAGAAGGATGAGAATCAAGGTGCTCGACGCGGCGGTAACAACCGAGGACGCGGAGCCAATAATGTGCAGCGGCGAACCAGCAGCAACAACTACGACGACGATTACGATCGAGTAGCGTTTGCGGTTTCGCTGGAAGCAGGACTATCGACGGGCAAGAGCATGCCTGGAATGTGGGCGATTGACAGTAGAGCAACGCATCATGTATGCAACAACAAGGCCAAGTTCACGACGCTGAATGAGCAAGATGAAGGTGAACTGTTGGTGGCTGACGGCAACAAGGCCGCGATCAAGGGTTTGGGAACCATCATCGAACGAGTGGTTCTGCCCAACGGCAAAGAGCGCGACATCGAAATCAAGGATGCATTGTTCGTGCCGAAGATGAACAAGAATCTGCTATCAGCGCCGCAGATCAACAAGCATGGCAAGTTTCAAGTAGTGTTCGACGGTGCGAGTATGCACATAGCGCACAAGAATTCGAAGCAAGCGGTGGCAACGGCGGACCTCGTCGACGGACTTTACTGGCTTCGCACGCCACAACGTTTGGCAATGCAACAACTTCGGCAAGCAATGTGAATCTGCAGGCACGAATGGGCCATGCTCCGGTTGATGTGCTGCTTAAGCCGGTCAACAGCGGTATGATCAAGGACGCAAAGGCACCATTGCCGACAACTGGTATATGCCACGGATGCCAGCAAGAGAATATGGTCCAGAAACCGTTCCCGAGCAACCGTGACAAGCGCCGCTATGACACGTTTGAGCCTCTCCACTTCGACATTTGTGGCCGTATGGAGCAAGAAACAATAAGTGGGAGCAAGTATTTGCTCCTCATCGTGGATGAAGCCAGCGGATGCATGAAAGGTTTTTGCCTAAGTGCCAAGTCTGAGAGCGAAAAACATCTCAAGACCTACATCAGGATGGCGCAGACGCAGTTCAACAAGCAAGTCAAGTTCGTGCGTCACAATGGAGCTCGAGAGTTTGCAACCAACTCTCCCTAGGCGTTCTACCAAGACCAAGGTATTGAACAGCAGACCACGGTCCCGTACGCGCTAAGCCAACGGAACAGCGGAGAGAGCAATTCGAACGATTGTCACGATTGAACGTAGCATGCTACATCATGCCAAGCTGAACAAGTTTCTGGGGTGAAGCGGCAATGGCTGCGATTTACATCAAAAACCGCCTACCGTCACCCAAGATCACGAGCAATACACTTTATGAGATCGTGCACAGGTCCAAACCCAGTGTGAAACACATGCGTGTTTTTGGGTGCCGGACGTACGTTTTGACTCCTCAAAAAAAAACGACTTAAGTGGGATGCCAAGGCTCGTGCAGGTGTGTTCATGGGATACAAAGAGGTATAAAAAAGCGTATCGAGTTCACGACATCGAGACAGGACAAGTGGTTATCAGTCGCGATGTCACCTTTGACGAGACAATCGTTGGTATTTCGACTATGAGTACAAGTATGACGACGAAGATGCTACGCTAGACTTTAGTGGACTCGACATCAGTGATGACAACGGAGGTCCAGTACAGTACCAGCAGACTGGAAAACGCAAGTACCGTCGAGTGACGACTACAGCAAGGATGCCTACTCGCATCCTGTTCATCATGGTGCTAGCCTCGAAAAAGCAATTGCTCCTGATCGCGCTTTCGGCGCCAAGTGAAGAGTCGACCAGGCATACATGCTGAACCTGATCTGTCAGAAGAAGAAAAGGACAACCATGATGATGAAGATAGCGACTCGACTCCTACAATGTTTTGACGAACAAGTGTCAACGTAGCTATAATGCGCGTTAATGTCGAACACTAGCCTATAATGCACATTAGTGTCGAACACTAGCTAACAATGCACATTAGTGTCTAAAACTAGCTTATAAAACACCTAAGTGCTCAACAATTGCTTATAAAGCTTATTTATGCTTAACACTAGCGTATAATCACCATAGTATCTAACAGTAGCTTATAATGCACCTTCGTATTCAGCACTAGCTTATCAAGCACCTAAGTGTTCAACACTTGCTTATAACGCACCTAAGGTTATACAATTGCTTCTATATAACCTTTTAGTGCTTAACACTTGCTTATTTAATCTTGAAGTGTTGTACACTTCTGATCAAGCTTCATAGGGCTTCACAATTGCTTATATAAAGCCACACAGTGTTACTTTTGGTTATAAAGCACAACATTAGTTACCACTTGCTTTTAGAAAGCCCTAAAGCGTCGTAAACTTGCTCATAAACTTCATTATGATTAACGCGTGCTTTTATAGCAGCTAAGTTATTCACACTTATTTTAGCGCACCGTAGTGCCCAGCACATGCTCATGGAGCCATAATGTGCTATAACTACTTGCTCTACGAGACCTCAAAGCCCTTACGCCTTGCATATCATATAGACAAAGCCAAATACGTCGTAGTTTCTTGCTTCTGAAGCAGTTGTTAGTACCTCTCACGCAAGTGATATACCGGCAATTGCTTCTTCTGAAAGTCGGAGGTGAAGCCTAACTACTGACTTGCTTCCACAGCACTAAGTGATAGGAAGAATCCGGCGACTGCTGTAGCCGCTTCTGATCTTCCCGATCAAAGCTTAAACGACGTCCGGGCAGTCTTGCCGTAGGGGTACCTCGAGCTCCCATGAGCTATACGACTGAGGGTACCCTCCTCCTCTTTACCAGATACTGGGTATGGCCCTGGTGAAGACGTCGCGCCAATAGACACACGACGTGAAACTGTTGATGAACTAGCTCATTAGACAGCTTTGGCGGGGATCGATGACCCATCGATCCATGATATTTTTGTATGCCTTCAGCGTCCAATGCATCACCGGTGCCGTAATATCCGCCTCCTTCGGCCGAAGATATGGGGACAACCCCTCGAAGTCCACCGAGGCAGGGTGGAGATATGGCTTTAGCAAGCCTACATAGAACACAGGTTGTTCTTGCATCTTCTTTGGAAGGTTCAGCG